TATTGTATTTTGGGATCAAAAAGCGACCTGGAGCCCGGTCCGCCCCAGTTCTTCATGTATTCATATGTCCATCACTGGGATTGAAGAACAACGAAGAGAATAGGGGCAAATATGGGTTTTGGGAGGGCTATGTCCTAAAACCTACGGATTTGGTGCCCTAAAAGGAGAAATATCAAATGAAATAACAATAAGAAGAGTTGAAGGACTTACCAGTTGAGGGCAGTGGCTCCTTATTCGAACACAAACTTTGAAATGGCAAGGGAGGAATGACGCGAGCTCTGGGACGTCAAAGAGAAAGGAATGGCAAGAAGAGTGGAATGAAGGAGGCTGGGCATGCTTATGAGGTTGAAAAACTGCCAAAATTTGAATGAGAAGGGACGGTTAGCTGCTCGAGGCCAATCAGCACGCTACATGTGTCCCCCATTAATGCAGCATCAGAGTGAAGAGACAAAAAGGTCAGACGAGGCATCAACCGGACAAGTCAAGAGACAGGAAGGTCAGGCGAGGCGTCAACCGGACAAGTCAAGAGACAGGATGGTGAATCGAGGCGTCGACCGGGCAAGTTTTGAAGACGGGCATGTCAACTAGCCCAGTCACCGTATTGCAAATCGAGGACCGATGAAGAGTTACCCCGGTTAGAATAGTTAATCCCAGTCACGCTTGCGCGGACGGAATTAAGGGGCAATTGAGAGGGAGATTTATGATCTGGATTGGGCCGTGATAATGGCCGGACAGATTTGGGCCGAACAAGATTGGGTCGAGGCAGCGCGGCCCGTGCCCTGAAATGATTTGCTCGGTTGAAGCAAGGTGCGGTTGGACTGAACTACTTGGCTTCATGGCATAGAGGTTGGGCAAGTGAGATGTCCGGCGCCAGGAACGGCGTTGTTCCACAGTTCATGAGTTAGCCCGGCAGGAAGGCCGGCGGCAAACCAGCGTGGACTGTCCCGAGCTCGGTCCTCATTAAGCACGGCGAGCGGAGCGCTCTGGCCAGCTGCACAGCACGACCGTTGATAGCCGAGAATATTCAGCCTAGCTGCCAAGCTCCCGGTAGAGTGGGCTGGCAGTTTGGTTAGGTGGTGTTCAGCAAGATTTGTGCTGACAGATGGGATAGCAGCACCGCGTATCGAGAGATGAATGAGAGTAGATTTGGGGCGCAGAAGGTATATAAGCAAGTCTGCGCCCCCCATGCTGGGACATATGACATTTTGGTGAGATAAACACTACACACAACTCAGTCCTCTCTCTCTCTCTATCCCTGTGTGTGTCTAACTTGATCGTCGAAGGGGTTTTCCAGCCACACACCGCCGGGTAGCTCACCGCCGTTGTGTTCGCAGGTCGATCGGACAGGCAGGAACTTGAAAGAAATGAGTGCGGGCTTACCTGAATATTTGCTCCCCGCACAAAAAGTACGAATTAACTAGGGTCTAGTTTGTTAATCAAGAGGCATTAAAGCACTTGCTAATTGGTCCCAAACCTATAGTATATGATGACTTTAAAATATATATATATATATACTTAGGGGAAAAAAATTTAATGAAAAATAATTGAAAGAAAGAAAAGTTCATTGTTATTCCGTATAATTTTGTTACACTAGGCAACATGTATTTATGCCTATAAATATATATATAATTTATAGATATAAATTATCAATACAAAAAACTTGTATTTACATGTGGCATGAATGTAATAATCATGATCATTCATAAATGATATGAAATAACCTATTATAATGCAAATAATCCTTCATCACTGTGAATTCTACTTGAAAATTAAAAATGTTATGCATTATCATGATCATTTTTTAATGTAAAGATCAATAGAACTAATTTGATAAGGTGGTGAAATCACCATAGATGTCATCAAACCATCAAACTTTATTAATTTTATATTATTTTATTATTTTAATTAAAAATCAATTTAAAAATAGCACCCTTACCCTTACTTTTTAATGTATGATAACAATCATGACAATGATATTGGATCTACTAGGAGAAACCATGCATGCTATATTTGATAAATTACTAACACCTTTTGATAAATTAATGACACCTTTCTAGTTTCTAGTATGTCATAATGGATAAGAACTCAAATCATTTCATTAAAACCATTTCACATATCCACAAAATTTTGGGAAAGGGTTATTATTGAGGTAGGTTTTCAAAAGTACTCAAAATTTTAATGTAAATTTCTCTACGTGCAAAATCATGTGAAAAGTGTACATGTTTAACAAATATGAGCTCATCTATGAATTTTTATTTATATTTGAATCGAATTAAAAAAAAAAATTTGAATGTTAATTTATTGGATTCTTCAAACTTTAATGTCAACTTATGTTTGGAATTGTAATTTGTAAAGGGAAAAAAATAAAATTGAAAATATATATATATGTCTATATAAAGTAGAATATTCTCTCTCTAATCTATAGTTACTACATTTTATGACACACTTGTAATAGTTGGATGCAAAAGTCCGCCTTCCAGAAACTTAACCAAAAAATTAATCAGAATTTCAAATCAATGGTGCACATTTGAAGTTGTAGTTATGGGATTATACCTTAAGTGAATCTAGACCATTAATATTATATTTTGACACTTATTCGTTTATTTATGAGATTGTAGCATCGTTGATGGTTAGATATTAATTCACTATGCTTGGTTTCACTTTTCAAAAAATATTTTTCAGGAAATTCTACTTTCTTATTTTCCCTTTTTTAGCTTTTACTGATTTTTTTTAATATTTTAAGCAATTTTTTTAATTTTTAGATATACCTAACTTAGGTGTATCTAAAAAATAAAAAATTTGTGAAGAAAACCTTTTAAAAATTCACTAAATATCCAAAATACAAAAAAAAATAGGGCAAATTACATATACACCCCTTGAGGTTTGGCTAAATTACAGATACCCCCCTGAGGTTTCGGAAATTACATCCCGCCCCCTGAGGTTAAAGTCCGCCTTCCAGAAACTTAACCAAAAAATTAATCAGAACTTCAAATCAATGGTGCACATTTGAAGTTATAGTTATGGGATTATACCTTAAGTGCATCTAGACCATTAATATTATATTTTGACACTTATTCATTTATTTATGAGATTGTAGCAGTGTTGATGGTTAGATATTAATCACTATGCTTGGTTTTACTTTTCAAAAAAAAAAAATTCAGAAAATTTTACTTTCTTATTTTTTGTTTTTTGTGTTTTTACTGGTTTTTTTTAATATTTTAAGCAATTTTTTTTAATTTTTAGGTTTACCTAACTTAGATGTATCTAAAAAATAAAAAATTTGTGAAGAAAACCTTTTAAAAATTCACTAAATACTCAAAATACAAAAAAAAAATGAAAATTCAGTACATTTTTTGTATTTTTATGTATTTATTAATTTTTTAAAATATTTTTTCACAAATTTTTTACTTTTTAGATACATCTAAATAAGGTGCATCTAAAAAGTAAAAAAAATGTTTAAAATTTAAAAAATATCCACTAAAAACAAAAAAATACGAAAATCAAAAAACTTAATTTTCAAAAAACTTAAACCAAACACACACAGAATAGGACTTATTACATTAATAGTTGTGAGTGTGCCTATCTTAACATTATTGGTTAGGAAAATGGAAAAAAATTAAAAAACAAACAAGTATTTGTAAAATAAAAGAAAAAAAGTTAAAAGATAGGCATAATTAATTATGCGCCGTGGACATTCACTTTCAAAATTAAATATGATTCTCTTTGCATCTTGATATTTACCATAATTATTATTAAAAAAAATAAAAATAGAAGTATACATTAGCATCTCATGGCCATCATCAAATTTTTTGGATATATAATACATATGTTCGTACCCGTAGGATTGATTTTGACAAAAAAATGTCATGATATAGTAATTAAAACAATTAGGTCCCTAACCTATATATCTCACACATGTTTTATAATATTCTTATCATTATTGAGGCAAGCCATGGCACTAATTTTTTATTTTTTTTTAATTGATTATCAAGCCATGCCACTAATTTAAATCATACATAGAATTAAACCAAAATTTTCCATGCTCCCCCCACATTTAGGTCCCCTGTTTATTGTTGATGTAACTTTAAGCATCCATTATAAATTTATAAATCCCTTTCTAAATAATCATATGTCTACTTAACTCAACAACATGAGGACGAGATTCTCTATTTTTAAAAAGAAGTGTTTGTGTCTTTTATTTCTAAAAATATGTCTATTTCCTTGTTTAATAATACTTACATCACACAATCTAATTTTTAATTAAAAGACAATCACAAATTCATAATTAAGCAAGTCCCTTTCAAAATAATTTTATATCTATTCAACTCAAATAATTCATTCCTAAAAAGGTATTTGTACCTTTTGTTTTTACAAAGTGTGGATCCCCAATCTTTCATACATCCAGGTCACATGATCAAATCTTTAATTAAAAGAAAATCATATGTATACTCATAATAAGTGATATAATAAAGGGACATGCATCTTTTTTAAGATAGCAAATCTCAATCTCATCTCAACAAGATCATTGTCACAATTACTTGGGATCAGCTAAATAATCTTATATAATTGAATTTAAATATCTTCTCTTGATCATTGATGATGTGTAGATATACATACATACATATAGCTTAATGCATTAGCTATTTTCATTTTTTATCTAATTATTGAAGAGTGGAAGAAGACAAGTAGGTGAGAGAGGAGGAAGGGGAATTTGAAAAGAGTGAGGAGGAAGAAGAGTGGAATGTATGGTTGAGATTTGAAAACTTTAGAGTTAGGTTTTTAGGTGAAAAATGAGAAGCAAAAGTGAACATCTCTTGGTGTGTGTGGGTTAAACCTTCCCAACAAGGTGTTCCTTTGCCTTTGCCTAAGCTACATTTCAACTCTCTGTTTATGACTTTTACATATTCCTAGTTTGGGAATAGAATCTTACTCTTCCAAGAAAACACACATAAGAAAGAAAAAAAAGAAGAAGAAAAAGAAAAGAAGAAGCTTCAAAAACAAATGCCAATCCAATTTATAATTCTTATACAGCCTCTAAATAATTATAATATGCAGGATCACATAATTGTCACTGTCAATTAGCAACTTAACGCGTCGTTTAAAGCCACCTACCTACCAATGCTTCCAATGAAAAATTGTGAACAAAACAAAGTTCCTTTTTATTACACGAGTGTTAATCACATGACAATGTTTATGTTCTGTATGAATAGCCCATCAAGGTAAAGATCATATGACGGTGTAAACATGTAGATGGTTACAGGTGGGCTCTGACAAAAACCCAGCATAGAAGGTTCTAGAAGATTACTTACGAAAGCGTTACGCTTCTACAAGGTGGGAGGGACCCAGGAGTAGCCGTGTGTTAGAACATAACCAGCCCTTTCAAGCAACTGGTCTGCTTCCTCTGGTCCTCGGCTGCCTGGCCTGTATGGAATTGGCTTGACCTCTCCATTATCTATTCTGTGGAGCAAAGGCGTAAAAATCTCCCATGCAGCCTGAAATCGGGAAGAAAAAGACAAAAAAACAAATGTAATTTTTTTTTGGAATTGGTATTGCGACTTCAAATATGTAATCCAGATTTATTGTGTGAATAATACCTTTAACTCGTCTCTGCGAACAAAATGCTGCTGATCTCCCCTTATACTGTGAAAAAAAAAAAAAAACTAATCATGTTACCACTACAACTATTACTATTATTATTATTACAAGGAAGGAAATATAATGTGAACATAAACAACGATATGAATCGTACGTGTCAAGAATTAGACGCTCATAAGCCTCTGGAATGGTAACACCATGGTAACGTTGCTGATATGACAAGTCTAATTCACTTTGAATGGTCGACATTTCCAAGCCAGGCTGCTTGACCTGCACGAGAGTGACTGGTCAGCAGATATTTATGAAAATTTGAATATTATTCTGCCAATGATTTTCTAGAGAGCTTATTCCACAATACATTTACACGGATCTAAAGAGAGACGCATGGCAAAATGCACGAGAAGGTGAGGAAGGCACAGATAAAAGGGATTTCAATTATAGTTGGTCAACCATAAGCAGATAGGTGATTAAGCCAGGCTAATCACATATGAAATATTAGTGACATCATTATTAATACTTTTTATGTAAATTGACTTGTACATGCATCGCATGTGCCCAGAAGCTAGTTGCATTAAATTTGGGGCCTGTCTTTGGATAACAAGCTATATTTTTTGAAAATATTGAAGGGCATTCTTTAAAATGTTGTACCAGCAATTATCGGCCACTCAAAAGTTTCAGCAGCAAACATTAATGCAATGTTTGAAGCAGTTACTGTAAACAATCACATACCGTAACCTTCATGTAAATGGCCTCTGAAGGTTGCAGGCGGATTACGATTTCATTCCTTCCTTGCTTTTGACCTAATAAAAATGGGATTTATACAAGACAGTGTTCAAGCCAATAATTGATACATAATCAACTTAGACCAAATAACTATAAGCCAAAAAAAAAAAAATGGAGTGCGTTGAAGCAACAGTACGTGGAACTGTAAAGGATGCACATCATGATAATCAACAATCACATCGAGCTATTGTCCAGTGATTTCATGGATTATCATGAACACCCTGTTTTCTGTTATTTTTCAATTAGAAGACCCTTCTTTTTTTTCCCGACATCAATCACACATGCAAATCAAGCAAGATATAGACTTCAGAAGATTACTGAAAAGCAGGTCTGAGACCATACATTTGAATATATCACCAGGAACGGTTTTAAATTGAATACGGATTTCTGCCTTCCTAGAATTTAATGCTTTCCCTGCCTTGAGTATAAACGGAACACCTGCAGCAAGCAATTCATACAGATTGCAGTCAAAACATATCAGAGTCAGGAACTACATTTTGATTAATCTAATGCTTAAGAAATATATAACATGAGTAGAGGTTAAGTCTGAATTATGTGCGAAAGAACAGTTTCCTGATCAGAGAATCAACAGGTTTATCTTCCTCAACAGTGACAGTAATTTAAAAATAAAAATATGAAGAATATGTAATTAATTTGTAGATATCTTATATCACACCTTCCCATCTTTCATTGTGAATTTGCAGAATCATAGTTGCAAAAGTGGGAGTATTTGAGTTGTCTGGAACTGTTGGGTCATCAGTGTAGCCATCATATTGTCCGAGCAAAACTTCTTCATCTTCAATCGGAAGCACCGATTGAAGAACCTGAATGGAAAAGGAAAGCATGTCAAGGACTCAAAAAGTGGCAACTCTTAAAGAATACAGAATATATTATAAAAATAGACATTTACGCTAACTGAAAACACAATAATCATATGGTCATTCATTTAACATCTGTAAAAATTCATACATCCTTAAATCAAATGCCTATGCAAATTATTTCCTTCATTTACATGCATTTGTTCTCCATTCCATAGTAAAAAAGAAATACTTAAATCTTGATATTTCTCTCATATTCACTTATTCTTTACATTGACTAGAAAAGGCATCCAAGAGTTTTTCAATCTTGAGCCAATTGATAGAAAGGGACTACCGACATATTATCAGTAGAAGACATAAGAAACTAATTGATGCACCTTCACTTTTTCATCTCGAATATGCTCAGGTGTAAGAGAAATAGGCTTCTCCATAGCAATTAGGCAAAGAATCTGCAGTTGGCAAGAATATATGTTTGTTACATCTTAAAGAAAAATGATAAACAAATTGGAGGGACTGTTGTGAATAAATTTATATATCTATCATTTTAATATTATCTACTCTAACTTGATGTCATGGCCTCACCTGCAATAGATGATTTTGAATAATATCACGAATGATTCTGCAAAAAGAAATGATGAACAGATTTAATAATGCCAGGCTAGTTACCAATTCTCAGAAATATGAAGAACGGGGAAAATTTTTTGCATAAGCTTTTCCAAGTAAAATTACATCTACTTGTTTACACATTGCAAATTGGAAAACGAAAACAAAACAGTGCAGAATACAGTTTGAAGGTCTAAGATTGTTATATTAAAACAAAGAAGAAAACTGTTAACAGATGGTAAAACCATGACTTTTAGAAACTAAGTCCTAATCCGTGAACAAATCTCGCAACAAATGAATTATGACCTTCCATGGGATTCTCAAAGAAGAAAACTGTTAACAGATGCTAAAACCATGACTTTTAGAAACTAAGTCTTAATCCGTGAACAAATCTTGCAACAAAAGACTTATGACCTTCCACGGGATTCTCAATTTCTAGGTCCTAATCAATAGACAAATCTTACAGAAAAAGATGTGAGGTTCCACTTGACATACCCATATTCATCAAAATATCCACCCCGACCCTCAGTTCCAAAATCCTCCCTAAACACAATCTGCAAGAAGAACAAGAAAATAAAAAAACAGGAACAATAGGAACAACAAGGGAAAAGAAAAAGATTAACAGTCAGGCTTGTAGCATATACGTTGGTACTACCCTTTAAGCAGGACAATCACAAAAGGGGAATAATATGGCAGATCTCTCTGCAGCTACTCCACAGGTCTGCTTAACCTTACCAGTAATGCTTTTACTTAATTCACATTTCCAGACAACTTTATTGAAATAAAATGGAAAGAAAAAGAAGAATGAATGCTTACCTGTACATTGTCAATGTTGTCACGATTCCACAGTGGCAGGAAAAAGCGATTTGCAAAACGAAGTACCAACTGCACAAAAAAAAAAAAAAAAGTAGTGGGATAAACAAAGAAATAAGCAAGCCTTGAATAATTTTGAAAAAACACAACTCTTGGACAAATTTAGACACTTATATTACCAAGTTTTGCACCAATTCCTTTCCCAAATAATGATCAATACGATAAATCTGTTGTTCATCAAATAACTCTCCAATCTGTGCACTCAGTTGCTCAGACGAGTCCAAATCCTTGCCAAAAGGCTTCTCAACAACAATTCGAGTCCATCCACCAAGATCAGCTAGAAAGGATTACATTAAAGTGTTCATGAAGATTAATACTTCGAGGTTCCATATAAAAAAGGATTATAATTCCAGTCTTATCTCATTCATATTTTGAATTAGATTCCAGCATAACAAAGAAAAAAATTGTGATATACATTAAAATTCCATTGTGTGACATATACAAACCTGTACTCAGATAATTATAACTACTCATTAAAATGTATGGATCAAGACAATGATTGTCTGGACTCATTCCACAGCAAATGATATTCCTATCCAATGAGCCCAATGACATTATAAAACAAATTTAAGAAAAGCTGAAACAAAATTATCACTGGAGTACAATGAGAAACTCAAGGTTCTCCGGCAGTGACAGCCGTGCACCTCACTAATCATATTGAATATGAAAATATATCATTCCTTCTATGATATCATTGCAGTTGCGTTCATACTTTACCCTTTAATTTAGTCTTTCTTAAGGCCCCCATCCCAAAACATTTCGAAGAAAGTGTTGCCATAAGAAAGAAAGGTAAATTAATTGTCAACATTTCTACAATATTTAAACATAACAACTGTTTCCACAAACACAAAACAGTGCTTGCTTATGACTTATTCACCCAAAAAAAACAGTGCTTGTTTTTTTCTTCTTTATTTTTCTATGTTTCCGTTTGGCATAACAACATGAGTGAGACAGGTGCACTCAACTCAAAGACCGTTTGCTTTTGTTGGTTCTTATGGAAGTTACTTTCCTCTTCTTGAATCCAGATCAAAACGCGGAAGTGGAAAAAGAAAGTGCACCTTTAGAGGGCAAATAATAAAATCATACTAAATTAAGCTACAGCATAATCTAAATTCGCTACATATCAATTCACACAAACAACTCCGGAATAGAAATACTTACATTTGTTCATGCAATAATTCCTGATCATTTTGCAGACAGACGGATATACTGATGGTGGAAGCGCAAGGTAAAAGAGTCTACGAGATGATCCTTCCTTAGTATTTTTTGAGAATTCATGCTTAGATATTTCCTTATCTAGTAACTGAAAACCCTCTTCAGAATCATAGGAGCCACTTACATATCTTATCTACATGAATCATTCATGAAAGTTACAAGTTACAACATAGCACAGAATTGATAATATAATAGAATAAATAATGAAACTTTAATGGCTGTACAAACCAATTGCAGAAACTTTGATACTTCTTCCAGTTGCTCACCTGAAGCACCCTTTCCTGGGACAAGATTTCTGCAGCCATTAATTAAAAGGTTAAACAATCGGTACATCACTGTATACATTATCAACTAAAACGAGCATTAATCAAGTGAAAATTTCTGTTCTTAACTCATGTTATGCGAAACACATAATAACAAATGCAAGGAGTAAAACTACAGGTGAGGACAGCTCACCCACGTATGCGATTTCTCAACTCATCATCTGAAATCTTGGTCCTCGCATAGCCAAATATATGACCTTCATCAGGATTCAAAAATCCCTGTGTACATCCCACCCGATACGAAGTTAGAATACTAATGCAGTTTAATTCTGCAGCAAAATTGGAGAAACTAAAACTATTATATCAATTTACAAGAAGCAAGAAAATCCCAACAGACCTGACGATAAAGGTTGAAGAGGGCTGGAAAAGTCTTTTTCTTGGCAAGATCACCTGAAGCACCGAGTAAAACAATGGAGAGACTCCCAGTTTCAGCCACATATTCTCTTGATAAAGAGTCATTGCTAGAATTGGATCTTTTCTTTATGGTCCATCCACCAGACTCCATCTTCCAAGCTTAATAAGCAGGTTTCACCCAAAACTCTCTGACAATTCAATCACACAAAACTACGAAAAGCAAAAAAAAAAAAAATTTAAAAAAATCAACAATTAGAACAGAGACTATGTAAGTATGTCCATAATAATCTGCATTTGTGTGTGAGAATAGGAGAGAGAGAGAGAGAGAAAACAAATTCACTTCATTCATTAGCCACAACACAAGTTCAGCTAATCACTCTATGCTTTATCAACAGAGATAAACTTGCTATCTTTCAAGACTATGGGAAAAAATAAACAAACTGGAACTGAAAAACATGAATTGATTCTAATTGCTGATGTAAAACATGAATTAATCATACCAGTTAGCAATACATTAATGTGTTTGTAGAAATGCTTACGTAGATATGCTGAAACAGGTTTCACCCAAAACTCTCTCACGATTTAATTACTCAAAACTATGAAAAACAACACAAAAACTAGAACAGATGAAGATTACGTAACGCTCCATTTGGGCATAAAAAAAATTCCTGTATTTTATGGTGTTTGATACAATCAAAAACGAAAGTCAATAGAGAACATTTCCATGGCCAATATAAAATAAGCTTATTTAGATAGAAAATAGCTTTCACTTTTAAAAAGCTGAAAATATTTTCCGAACTAAACTATTATCAATGTCACCATACTAGCACAGCTTCTCTCACCTCTACTGCCACACCACAGCCACCATCACTGTCACAGTCACCGTCACCTCTGCCTCCACCCCACCACATCCACCTTTGTCCCCCCACCACCACTACCAACTACAAAAACATAGTTTTCATTAAAAAATGTTTTTCTGCCCAAACAAACGGAGCGTAAAGTATGTCCACAATAACCTGAGAGAACTAATTCACTTGATTCATAGACACAACACAACACAACACAAGGTCAGCCAACTGGTTAATCAGTCTAGTCTTGCTTGCTTTCTTTCAAAACTATGGAAAATAACAAACAAACTGGAAGTGAAAATCATGAATTGATACTATTTTACATGTAATGTGTTTGTAGAAATGCTGAAACAGGGTCTGATTGGGGAGCTTAAAAACGAAGATTATAATTGAAAAATGTTAGTAATTGACGTAAGAATTAGAAGAATAGAGATTAATTGGAACTCAAACAAACCTGTAAGCTCAGAGAACAAGCAATTTGAGAAATCAAGGTACTTGTGTATTGATAATATTTGAGAGAAAAGAAGAATATCAAAGTGTAGAATATATATATATATATATATTGAGGAAGAGAAGAAAAACAATCAGCGCACGAATCGATAGGATATTTGAGAGAGAGGTGATTTTATAGGATATTTGAGAGAGAGGTAATTTTAGTGAACAGAATTGATTTGTCCACCCTCTCTCTCTATCTCTGACTCCGTCTCTGTTCTTTGAATTTTGTTTTGGGCTTTTATACCAACCTCAGATTTCGGCAATACCGTTAGGGAGGTCATGGGGACGGGTTTGAGGGCCCGCGCCCGCTTCGCATTATATTTGGGCTGGAACAAATCGGACGGGGCGGGTTACTTTTATGGTTTTAAAAATAAAAATTATATAAGGTTTGTTTGGCATTGGTTTTTTTAGTCAACTTTTTTGTGTTGAAACTTTTTTAGTCTGATTTTTTTAGTCTTGTGTGGTTTTTATTTTGAGTTTTTTTTATTTATTTTTGTGAGAGAAACAGTGTACTGATTATGAGTAAAAAATAATATTTTGTCTTATTAGCTTATATAATCTATTTTATATTTTGGTAATTATTTAACTCCAAAATATTAGTCGCATAATATATTATGAATAGTAATTTATAAAAAATAATAAAAGCTAAAAAATATAAGATAAGAAATAAATATTAAGAGTAATATTTTAGATTTTAATTTTATTAATAATAAAATTATATAGTGGAGGTAAATTAAAACAAATGGGGAAAGTAAAATTCGTCTCTATTTCACTTCTTCATCGAGACGGAAAAAACTTGTGTGTGAGTATGCCGAGAATGCGGGACGGAGCAGGACCCAAAAAAATGATTATTCTTAAAAATGATACATAGAGCGTGTACAAAACTTCCCCCCTCTCCTTTTTAATTTATTTATTGTGATAATTTAATAATTTAATTTTAAAAATTTAGAGTATATGTATAAAAAAATAATAATTTAATATTATTTTATTTTATTTTTAAACTTAAGTAGTTAAATTATTTATTTATTTTTACATTAAAGTTATGTTAGGATTATTTTGAGAAAATATATCATTATAAGAATTATCGAATATATATATATATATATATATATTTTTCATATTTTAAGAATATATTTGGTTTAAAAATATCATGTCATTAATGCTTTAAAGTGATCTATAAATAATAATAATAAATTTAAGGGGATTTTTTTTTAGAGTTTCTACTATTAAGATTTTATAATATAAAAGACATTTAATATTTTCATAAATTTAAATAAAGAGACTTTCTTTCCATTATTCAAGAAGGTTGGTGTCGATCAAGTCCATTTTGATTCATGGCATATGCAAAAATTAGAGATGGTTAATTTCGTTCTCCAAAAGTCTATTTCTTTCTGTTTTTACGCTTGAAAGAATAGTAATTACTTTAATCTCTGTTAATTACTAGCAAATTCTTTATTTTATTGTATTTTGTTTTCACCTACTCAAAATTTCTTACTTAACTTATAGTGTGATTTATATCTTACTTTTATTGTGATAGGTTGGCCAAAATAAATTTCATAGTCATAATTTATATATAAATTATTGAGATAAGTAATTTTACAGTTTCCCTAATGTCAAGGTCGTATTTTTCTCTTTTGTGATTGGCTTAAATAATAAAATTCATCATATTTAAATTTGAAAAGATAATATAAAGTGATAGTCTTTCGTGATTGGTAAAGAATAATATGTGAACTAATTTTTCAGAATTTATAATGCGAAACTCCAGTTGGATAGGTGTTGTTCTTGGTTGGCCCATTTAGGACCCATTTCAAATTATCTTAACTTCCAATTTTTTAGAATTTTTTAGATTTTTTTTTTTGGGGGGGGTAGAATTCATTGAGAAAAACATTCATGCAAAAATACCGATATCTGATAAATTGAAATGGAATTCAAAATGGACCCAATAAACCCAAAGTCAGTTAGATCACCCAGGAATCTCCTTTTCCGATTTACATTCACGCACGGTGCAAGAAAAGCCTAGTGATTTATTTTCATATATTTATTTATTTATTTGCATTTTTTCAAACAGTTACATGGTAATTACATTCATATTCCACGATAATATAATCCTCATTATGTCATTGGGTGCTAAGTCTTGGAAGGAAGTTTTCGGACAAAGTCAAGAATGTTAGCACCCAAAAAACTCCCCATTGTGCCCACATTTTTCGCTGATATGAAATTTTGCCTAATAAAATTTACTCGGACATGAAGAAATAGACTAAAACTTGTAGCAGTATAACACAAAAGTGTTCACATTGGAAACTCAAAGATCAGAGCATATAAACACACATATAATTCCTAACTTAAAAATGTAACGGTAACTTTAACAACACACACGAAGCTTACAAAGAGAGAGAAAAGAAATCTAAGAATCGACAGAGTAAGATCTCACACGTAGAGTCAAGTCACAGTTTCAGCCACTTTGGCTTAACAGGCTTTTTGCCAGTAGGTTTTCTCTCTGGGACAGCAGAGGAGGAATTGGCAATTACAGGTTCTGGGACCGCTTCAACTGGCTCCTCCTCCTTTTCAGGGATGAGTTCCAAACCTTTCAAAGACAATATATCCTCTTGGAGGAATGGACCTGAAACAGCAGGACAATCATCTCCTGGAAAAGACAAAAGCCACAGCACCAGACTAAATCTACAGCATTGATACCATTGCATAAAGGAAAACACTGAAGGGAGCAACACACGTGCCAATTGCTTCCTTTTTGAGAATTAGAATCAACTCAAATATTCACCTCAAGCCCAATTCTAATTCCAAGAAAGTAAAAATATGCCCATGTTTGGAAAAATGTGCAGCAATAATTATGAATGAATGTACATAATGCCTAGGTACCAAAGATGGGGATTTGAAAAGATTAAGGTATTGATCATCTAGAGTTTATCAATCAAATGCATAATATACTCATCAAATGCGTCGGAGTGTAACTACTTAGGTTCACCAGTCTTTGTTGAGAAATGGTATGGAAGGACTGTCCTAGAGATCCATAATGTTCAGTACTGAACACAAACTAAAATCCCTTTCTTTCTGAAGTAAAATGCTTTCATGTTTGGTAAATAAAACATTTTTGAATGTCAATATATCCCCATTTATTAAACTAGAAGGTGCATATTTTCAGAAACACGGTCCACACGTCTAATGGAATATTTGAAGCAACTCCAAAGAGGAACTCAGCGACAGACAAGATTGTGAGTCAATGACAAACCAAAAATGAGGGTCAGTCAACAGCTCCACTTCAGCAATAAAGTTGAGTAGATATTATGTCGAAGATATAAATAATTATGTTATCCCTCTCTCTAACAACTTAAAACTTTTAGATGAGTTGACAATTAACAATTTAACATGGTATAAGAGCAAATAACAGAACCCGTATTCGAACCTCACCGCTTAGCCCATAATTATAATACTTGCACGTGTTTGGCCCACTTATGGAAGAGAGTTTCGATACACGTGAGGGGCATGTCGAGTTCATACTTAGTTATGTTACTCATCTCCAACAGTTCAGGTTTTGGATGAGTTGTTGGTTAACAATTAACATACTAAATGCATAAATGTTGCAGTGCTGGACAAACATGCCATCAACAAACACAATAGACCCTACTTAAAAAACATGGCGACAAATTGTAAAGCCATTTTATCAAGAAGAAAAGCTGAAAACCTGGCCAATACATAACTATGTTAAAAGCAGAATCATTGGAAGGTTAAAGTGGACCATTGTATTGCAAAGCAACAAAATCTCAAAGAAATAAAATTGGACTGACTTACTAACCCTGTGGTAGTTGGTCATAAGAGAAATACACAATTGCACCAGGGACAAATCCAGCAGAATAAAAATCCAGGGACATGTCTTTCACTTGCTTCTTCGGAGGAGTAGTATCTGAAATATACAAGCATTAGATATATGGCTGTAAGAAAGTAAAAGCAAAAATTTCTAAAAAAACAATTTAAATGATGCTTACATATATAAAATGGTAGTTCTGGTTGGGCAATCACTTTCTTAAGAAGATCAATTAAGCTCTGGATTGTCTCTGATGGATGAAAAGTGCCCTCTAATGTGCAATTATCAGGGAATTGTACCCTCATCACAGCCTGCATAATGCAAAATGAGCAGATAAAACTTCATGTGACATTAAACCCTCATAGAATTTGCCTAAGATCAAAATATATTGTAGATGAAAGTCTAAACTAGATTGCACTCAAAAAAAAGAAAAAAGAAAAAAGAAAGTCTAAACCAGTTTTAATTTTAAATTATTTTTTAAAATTCAATTATGAAGAATGATACAGCATATACCTTAGTTATTTTTGATCTACGAGCAGCTTCTTCAGCTTCTCGAATTTTTCTTGTCTTCAAGAATTTATCTGCCCATAATTCCAGTTGATACCAATTAAACTAGTATCCAAGAGTAACACTAGTGTATATGCTAATGCAAATATATCCACAACGGGGTTTTATTCACTCCTTATTTCCTAATTCCTATACAGCAAGAGAAGGGGGTAGGGGCAGGAGAAGGACACTCGATGAGTAAAAAATGAAAATCAGAATGTCCTCTATCATTGCTGATATAAATGTAAATGGATATTGTCAGATGGAATCACGTTTATCTTCTACTTCATCTTCCTTGGTTATCCCTCTTTTTCTTTCCAAAACCTGCAATAGGTGTCATGCACAGTGCACAGCCAACACCTCCCCACCCCACTTCAGCAGAAAGGAAAACCACTTCTGAAACATTTGTTCTTCTGATAAATGAACTAATTCTAAAATAATGGTCATCATCATGTATATTACCTTCCTTTCTGTTGGGCAAAGTTCGATAATAATCCTCTGCAGTGAACTCATAGAAGTCATCTGGCTCCTCTGCCAAAAAAAGTGAATCAAATATTTAACATGGCACCCAAGAAGTATTCTAAATTATTAGATTACTTTTATGATAATGGATACGGGAATACAAATGTCCATACCACCACCAGACACATCATTGGGCATTGGAGAAGCAGGCGAGGTTTCAAACACGCGGATTTCTCGTCCACATTTTTGCTTTGCAGCTTCAAGCTTCACCTGAAATCAACTAACAAAAGTTACCATAATTTCAAGCACCAACAACTTTTTCAGTAAGTAAAATTTAATGAAAAGCACAACAAAGAGGTGCCACCGCATGCAACTAGACACTAAAAGAAACATAAATTTTAGGTACAACATTTAACCTTTTGTTTCATTTGTTTTGCATGAGGGTATTGGAAAATGCAATAAAATTAAATATCAACATGAAAACTCGTCTTTCAGTTTCTTACAAAAAAAATACAACAAATTTTGTTTACTCATAAAATTTCCCAAGTTATTATATCACTTCCCAATTTTCTTACAACTTTCACATAAAAATTTCATCTTTAACCAAATGCATATAAGAAAATAAATTTTCACTTCACTTTCTTTCGCTTTCACTTTCCATCATATTTTTCACTTTAATCCAACAAACCCACAAAAAACTCAGGTTCAGTTTACCCCTCTCGATTAAAGTGATGTGCAATTTGAAACTTTTTATATATTAGTTTTTACTAATTCAAAACGAATAACTTAAAATCACAATGCTATTACCAAACGGAAGATTTGGTCAAAATCAAAATCCCCTCATAATAAAATTTTAACGCATTAAAGGCAAGCACAAAAAATTTTCTTTGAAAAATCCAACAAATATCACTATTATCAAAATATTAAACTTTCAAATAATATAACTTTTGATATAGATGACATTTTTCATCAAATTAATATTTTTAAAATTTTCTCATCAAAATCTATCAAATAAGATCCATGTTGACTATAAAAAATTTATTAAAAAAAATTTATTACCGTTGAAATTGATGTAACATATTACTCTATTTAATAGTAACATGTTACTCTACCTCACACTAACATGTTAATCTGTTTAACAATTATTTTATTTGACAGTAACATGTCATTCTATCACAATAACACGTTACTCTAGTAATATTGTCCAAAAAAAAAATTAAATATTTTATTTTATCCTTATGTGTTTTCTCCTTAGGGGTTTATGAAGAAAAATAAATGGGACCGTCCTTTTCACCAAAGAAAATCCAATGGAAGGGTTTGAACTAAATTTCCCTTACCAAACCACCTAGATTTTTTTCTCGAAGTGTAATCAAACCCAGTTTTTTCCACTACCTACATGAAATCACAATGCTATTACTCCAAGTTTAATCAGACCCAAATTTTTTCCAAGTTTACTTCAATCAATTATCAAAAACAAAACCAACTTGGTCCAGCAAAAAAGGGGCACCACCATTACTCCTCGATCATCAACTATAGCACAGGAGAACATCGTTGAAGAAACTTTGGCAAACCCCAATATCATCAGAAACCCAAATTGGACACAAATCAATAGAACTACGAAAACTAAAAAAATTTGATGAAAAATTCAATAAAACATGTACCCAAAATTTAATAATAGAACCTTAGCTGATTCTGAATCCATTGGGTCGATTGTGGTGAGTCTCCTCCGCTTCAGAGTTGATGCAGAATCAGCTCTCATGAGCGAATTAAGCAAATCCGATCACTCACTCACTCTCTCTTCGATTTCTCTCTCTCTCTCTCGTCGATTTGTATTTTGTATTATCGCCGTCTACTGCGTTTTGCTTCCACTTAAATTACTGGATCGTCGTTGCACGTGACGTACACCTGTTGTCTTACTGTTATTTAACACTTTTTTCTCCTAATTAATTATGTAAAAATTTAAAACAAATGTAAACTGTGGAAAAAAATTACAAGTTAAAGAAATAATCAATTAAAACCAACTCCGGTTGGTAGCTCGAAATATCAGAGGGTCGAATGGCTCAAAATCTCAAAACGACGTCGTTTTAGGCTTTTTTTATATTCTCTTACCGGTAAGAGAATATTTTCGACCCATTCGACCCTTCACTTTCGAGCTACCAGCCATTTTCCAATTAAAACTACAAACAAATTAATAAAATTCAAGGCAAAATTTTGTTTTACTTGTCATTTATGCCATGTGCGATTTATTCCATTAATATTTGAAAATAACTATATAATTTTATGTAATTTGTGAATTAAAGTTCATCATTAAATATTCAGTCTAACTTAATAATAAGTATGAAATACGTGACAAATATAAAGGGATTATATGTAAATTTTTAAATTTTAATAAGATAAATTGCACATGGAATAGAGCATAGAAGGTTGAAGTACACTTTACCTTTCAAATAAACGACGAAAATATGAGGGTATTTTAATCTTTTTAATTAAATTATTAACAAGTTTAACGGTACACATCCATCTACAAATCATAAGGGGCTTACGTAGTCATTTTCAAATGTTATTGTTGGCTTATTTTTTCTACGAATAAAAATATCATAAATGTCAGCGTGCTAGTAAGGATTGTATTAACGGTTGTATTGACGGTTTTTCTACCTCAATGAAGAAGACTTTAAAACTGTCAAGTGTAGAGAAAATAGAACTTAAAACAAGAATGAGAAAGACGGATAAAGAAAGAAAAATTAAAAGAATAATGAGCGAGACAGAAAAAGATAATCGAGTGAACAAGTAAGGGGGATTGTGTGACAACCCAATTGTTTAATTAATTAAAATAAAAATAAATGAGCAAATAAATAAATAAATCTACCTATATATTATATAATGAAAAGAGGGTTGCCAACCCACAAGTCTCGTAGGAGCTCCAATATCTCAATCTTAATATTCTAATTTTTCAATTTAAAAAAAAAATCTCAGCATTTATCAACTTCTTCCAACCTACAAGCTTTTTTTACTTCTCTTATAGCAATTCCGGTTTTGACCCGTTACTTATTGCATTTCGAACTCGGGTTGCTTTAGTTTTGAATAGTTATTCATATCTCTTTCCTTTGTCTTTTCCTTTATTTTAGTTATTAGGTTGTAGTTGTGCGTTTGGGACAGGTTGGTTACTTGTTTTTCTAAACCTTTGTTGCCCAGATTTTGGCTCTTGCGCTCGAGCGGGCTTCATAAATTTTGCTCATCTGCTCAAGCGGTCATTCTTGCGCTCGAGCAGGATTTTCCACTTCTCAGCATTTCTTTTGCAGTTCTGAAAGTACTGGGAAAGTGCTTTGGCCACTCGAGCGTCCAGTCCCACGCTCAAGCGGGAACCTTCTGTCACGACTCACTCCCCGTACCCAAGAGTTAAGCATCGTGATGGCCAGTAACTGAGGTTACCTACGGCCAATTCTTAAACAAACCAAATAACGCGAGCGGAAGTAATATTTAAATAGGGGTACCAAAATAATCATCGGAGTTTCTATTTTTATTACAGAATATATTGACCAAAAAGACCGATATTTACATATAAAAATATCAATAAAAGTGCTGTGTGTCTATTCCGCAGCCCCGCATCTAACACTTTCCAAAAGTCATTTCTGAATTGCATTATTTCCTGAAAATTGGTAAACAACTATAAACACATGGCAGAGTGAGAAATATTATACCAAGAGTATAAGGGCACGAAATAACCATGGATAGTTATGTAGCCAAAACATTTACATAAACAAATCATTTGAATAGCAGAAATCATTTAAGTAGCAGAAACTGAAATACATATATTATATAAATATATCACCATAACCACAGTACATAACAGAACAGAACAAGGTCACATAAGTGACAGTCAGAACAGAGGTACGGATTCAAGAGGTGGCTCGTACGGATTCTAGAGATGGCTCCCACAATAGTGTAGCACTTAGCTCCGCACAGTACTTTGATCCGCACAGAACAGAGGTCAATAGATCCATGACAAACAGAGGACCACAAAGTGGTCAAACAGAAGCCGATGGTTATTTAAGTCTCCCAAGGCGTAGGACTCCCGTGGTGGTACTGACAAAACATAATTTTATATAAGGTCATAGTCAAATATTCTTTAAAAGTAAAACAGACATATCCATGCATTTCCTTTTAAGCAAATAGGGTTCAGAAGATAAACTACATAACTGAAATCTTTATAAAACATAACTTTTATTAAAAACATAACTTGTATAAAACAGATTTTGGTAAGTCAAAACATATGTAAAATACATTTTGATGACTCAAGGTATAATATAACTCACCTCAACTTTAATACCTTACTCTTCCTTTTCACTATCAAAGATCCTTTTAACTTCCATCTTTTTTTCTTCCTTTCCTTTTATTCTTTTCTTTTCTTTCCTTTCCTTCTTTCTCTCTTTCTTTTCTTTCTTTTTCTTCCTTTTTCTTCCTTTCTTTCCTCTCTTCCAACGGACGCCTCCTCCTTTTATAGGGGGAGAGAGCAATACATGGCAGATTTCGATAATAATTACAACGATTCATTCTTATCTTTAATAGATATTTAGAATAACTATCTTTTGATCCAATATTTAATATAATTATATAAATAAATTAATTCTTAATTAAATTACACTTTATCATATACTAATGAAAAATTAATTATTTATTTTAGTACCACATCCATTATTATTAGTATTTATATTATCTACATTATTACTATTCATATTTCGTCCCCCAAACTTTTAATAATTATATTATGTTACAAAATTACGCATAATAATATATAATAAATTATATATTTTCCGAACTGAGATTAAATAATATTAGTATAAAGTCTACAAAATAATTAAAAATCTGGATTGTTACACCTTCATCTGCAAAACTTTTGGAAATGTGCATTCTACACTCAAGCGCCAACTTTTATGCTCAAGCGGAACTTTGTGTCTGACGCTTGAGCGAGGCTTTCCATGCTCGAGTGGATTGCACGTATAACAGTCCGAGAAGATGATATTTTGAATCACTTTTTCATATATCTCTCTCTAAAACTTTCCAAAAGCTTGTTCTTAAGCCTTTCTCTTTAAGATTTATCTTCTCTATAAGATTTGATCCATCGATCTTTTCACCCTAGTGCCTTTGAGAAAAAGATAGAGCTCGTCAAGATCTACATTTTGATTCCAATAGAAGTGGGTTTCGATGTTTTTGAAATTTATCTTTTGTTTGACTCATCTTCTTCTTTTAAGGTAGGGATCTTTTCTACACCTTCATATGATATTTAGCTTAGTTATTTGTGTTTTGTATAACAATGATGTGGTTTGAGGGTGTTCTAAGCAAACCTAGGGTTTGGGTATAATATGGAAGGTAGGATTGTTGTTAAACATGAAATAAATGAATGTTGGTTGTGGGAATGAGATTAACATATGTTAAAATGGTTGATTTTGACCTTTGGGTTGAGATTTGGAAAATGAGAGGTTTTTCCCTAACATACCTTGAATAATTATTTTGTATAGATATTGAAATTGATGTGAGAAATGTGAAATTGGGGGAAAGTATAAATGAATGGTGTAGTTAGATCTGTTAATCACTCACCCATGGGAATTTGATGGATTATTTGTTATAAAGACTGTATATATGTTTAGAAATATCCGTATTGGGCTATCGGTAGAAAATAGCTTTGATTGTTGTAGAAATGGCATGTGGATTAGGCAAATTGAAACTAATCTCTTGTTATTTGTTACTGAATATGACTATGTTTATATGCATTGTACACGTCTGATTATGTGGAAGTGGAAAGGGGATGTGCTCCATTGTTTGATGTTGTGTTTAAATACATTGCATATGTATGAATGATTGTTTGGGAGGAGAAATGGGATGGACTTCATTATAATTAAGTTGATCGGAGTGTCTTGGGTGAAAATCCCGAAATTATATATGGGTGCCTAGCCTGCGGACAAAATATTCATAAATGGCAATAGTAGTGCTTGTATAGCCTACGTTTACATGGGCCCCGTTTGACAGCTGCCTGCGGACGAAATTTCCGTGAAAGAGAAGTTTGAAGTGTTCATGCATTGTTAATGTGATTATAGGACTAATGAGTTGAAGTCTCATTTAGATTGTTAAAAGGATAATGAAACTAGTCCATATAATGAAATGAATGAAAATTGGTACCTTATGACTGTATAACTGTAGATGTCTCTATCACTAACGTTGTGTATACATAGTGTACTTATACTTTTGCTAAGTTTCATATAATGTGCTAGATGATCTCTAGTGGGCTGTGGCTCACTCTATTTAGGAATGATATTTTCAAGTGTTGGTGACTTACCTCCACCAAAGCAACAGCTTGGAGGGACATTTTGGGAGCAAGAGCTTCTTTATTTGAAATTGTATATTTTTGTAAAGCCTAGCGCTAAACGTGTACGAGCTACACTCCTTTTGTGTAACCAAGTCAAGGCTTGGAAAGATGTAAACCAATAAGGCATTCAATTATGATAAACTCTTTTGTATTATTAAACCTGTGTAATGAATTGACTATTTACTCTGATTCATGCTGTTATTAATACGTGTTTGGGTTGTATTTATTGTATTATTTTTGGGGCGTTACATCTCTCATACCTACTACCACACAATTTTCAACTTATCATATACACTATGGTTAGTAATGGAATTATTAAATTATTTTTATAATTGTGCATTTAATTAAAATCTAAAAAAAAATAATTTGTATATTAAAAAATATCTAAAACAAATATAAATTCTTATTAAAAAAATAACAGGTTAAAATTGCGGAAAAAAAAAAAAACACAAGTACACTGTAAACAAATATAAATTCTTATTAAAAAATAACAGGTTGCAAAAAAGAATAAATAAATAAAATATTACA